ATTGAAGGATTTGGAGGGGGAGCATCTGGCTCTGCCCCAGCCAGTAGCCTCCTGCCCCTCTGCCACCATTGCGGGGGGAGGTCTGCAGCCACACTTACCCTAGTCACTGAGTGTTTGGGTTTTTTTGTTGACTGGGGAGCGAGGGCACAGTTCATAGCCTGCTCTCACTCCTGGCTGCAAGGGGAGGGCTGAGGAGGAAGGACACGGGCTGTGATCTTTGCCACCGTCCCGAGCCAGCAAACATTTAAAAAAACACTCAGTGATCAGGGGAAGTGCGGCTGCAGTCCCCCGCGAAATGTTGCCCCTGTCCCCCAGCACTCACGCCACCCTCTGTCCTGAGCCCTGGTTCAGCCTGCCCTTTGGAGGACAGGCTGCACCCCACCCTTAGCCCCATTTTACAGATGGGGAAGCTGAGGCCTTCTCGTGACGTTATGCGGTCTTGGCTCAGGCCAGGGTCACACTGGGTGCCATGGCACAGGCAGGGCTTAGCCCCAGGGCTCCCAGTCCAAGGCTGCTCCCTTGCACACAGGGCTCCGTGCTGCCCTAGTGTTAGCTGATGCTGCGGGGATGGGGGTCCTTTGCGCAGCCCTGGGACAGGCAAGAGATGGGGCTGCACAGCACAGGGCAGTGTAATCAACTCCCAACCTCACTTTCAGATGGGCCCAGGATGGACGACTCCAGCTGCCCCAGGAACCGGACCTGGGAGGTGGGGACGGAGCAAACCTTCTCCTGCGTGGCGCTGGGGAACCCCCCGCCGGCCGTGGTGTGCGCGAAGGATGGGGTGCCCTTCCGCGGAACCTACCACTGCAAAGCCTCCAACGCGCACGGCACAGCCAGCCGGGAGGTGACCGTCCAGGTGAAGGGTAAGTGGCCTTTACTGTAGCTTCCAGCAAGCAACCTAGGGGGTGGGTCTGCAGAAACACCAAAGAGATTTAGGAGCTAAAGTGGATGGAATTCAAGTAAAAGCCCATTCGATTTTAATGGGATTTAGGAGCTCAAATGCCCCCAAACACCGCTGAGACCCCGTACAGGATCCCGGGCTGCCATTCCCTACCTGGCCCAGTGTCCCGTCTGGCCATTCCATCCATGCGGCAGATGTCTGCAGGCTGAGCCGGGGACCTAGCAACACTCTTGCCCTAGACTGAGCAGGGCTGGGTCCAGTGTCCTGCAGCCTGGCTGGTTTCTGGGTTAGCTCAGTCCCATATTAATGATGTGCAATATGGCAGAATCAAAGGACATCAGGGCCCTGTCATGCCAGGCACTGCACAGACCCTGACTGAGACCAGGGCCCCATCGTGCCAGGGGCTACCCAGGCCCCCCACCAAGACCAGGGTCCCAGTCTCCTGCCATCACTCCAGATGTACCCCAAGATCAGAGCACCTGCATGACTCTCCTTCGTCCCTTTGGTCATTTATCTCCTTAGGTTTTGGCTCCTCTTATTCGTCTCCTTTCCCGTGTGGTTATATCTCCGATTCCTAGTGTCCTCAGCCCAGCCAGGATGGCCTCCCAGGCTGGCTCCTGTTACCTTTCACCCTTCCCCCCTGTTCTGAGCCCAGCCATCCAGCCAGGGCAGAGAACAGGAGAAACCAGCACTGGAGCCCAGTAGGAAATGGATCAATCAGAGCCCTTTAATGGAGAGATCCAAGCCCCACGAGGCACAGAAAATTGGAAAAGTCCCCAGGGTCCCTGCCATGTTTGGGGAACCCCCTCCCCCAACCCCAAGCAGTGAGTCAGACTCATCCTTCAGCAGCTGGAAGGAGCAGCTCAGTGCTGACCCAGCCCTGCTGGCACCCCAGCATCCAGCCAGACAATGCCAAATGCCCATTAGGAACTGGGCAAATAACAGCACAAGCTGCAAGGCCAGGTCCACCCGGCGTGGCTCCTGCTGGCCACTGCACTACAACTCAGGAGCTGCGATGGGGGCTTCACCCATCAGGGAAACTGTCCACCCACATTAATCCAGGAGCTAAAATCACATGGCACCAAGTACAGGTCAGCTCCTGAGGAGGAGGCTGCAAAGCTCCCAGGGGCCTGATCCAACTGGTGCAAATAACGAATGTAAATACAGGTAGTCCCCGACTTACGTGGATCCGACTTACGTCGGATCCGCAGTTACGAACGGGGCTGCCCCAGAGTACACGGACTGCGGGACCTCGTGGTCCTGCCGCCCGTGTACTCTGGGGCTTTGCTCTGCGTCTCCCTGGTCTGCAGACCAGGAAGACGCAGAGCAAAGCCGCGGAGGGGCTCAGGCAGCCGGGCAGCCCAGGCACGCCTGGGCTGTCCCGCCGCCGGCTTCCCCCGCAGCTTTGCAAAGCCACGGAGGGGCTGGGGCTCCGGGGCAGCCCAGGCGCGCCTGGGCTGTCCTGTCCTCTCCAGCAGACCAGGGAGATGGGGAGCAAAGCCTCGGAGCACGCCAGCAGTGGGACAGCGTGGCGCGCCTGGACTGTCCCGCTGCCCGCGTGCTCTGCGGCTTTGCTCCGCGTCTCCCAGGTCAGCAGACCAGAGAGATGGAGCAAAGCCGTGGAGGACTTGGGCGGTCCCGCCACCCCCGTATCCCTGGTCTGCTGGGGGAGGGGTGCAGCTAGTGCCCCCCCCAGCAGACCAGGCTTTTCTTGCCTACCCCTGGGGTAGAGCAAATATTGGTCAGCCTGATAGGCTGTGATCTAAGCACACTAGAGGACTACCCATTGTCAAACTGTTTGAAGACACCATTGCAACTGATTTGGCCAGGTTGAACATACATTTCCAAGGTGAGAGGCATCAATCAGATGACTAGGATAAAACTGTGTGAATAGCATGAGCCTAGAGTTGGGAATCATGGCGCTTTGCTAATAGAAGTGAACCCCAATCCACCTCTTGATTTCCAATGGGTTCTGCAGTCTATGCAAACTGCTCACATATCCCTAATATAAACACAAATATTCTCAAAAAAACACTCAGTGATCAGGGGAAGTGCGGCTGCAGTCCCCCGCGAAATGTTGCCCCTGTCCCCCAGCACTCACGCCACCCTCTGTCCTGAGCCCTGGTTCAGCCTGCCCTTTGGAGGACAGGCTGCACCCCACCCTTAGCCCCATTTTACAGATGGGGAAGCTGAGGCCTTCTCGTGACGTTATGCGGTCTTGGCTCAGGCCAGGGTCACACTGGGTGCCATGGCACAGGCAGGGCTTAGCCCCAGGGCTCCCAGTCCAAGGCTGCTCCCTTGCACACAGGGCTCCGTGCTGCCCTAGTGTTAGCTGATGCTGCGGGGATGGGGGTCCTTTGCGCAGCCCTGGGACAGGCAAGAGATGGGGCTGCACAGCACAGGGCAGTGTAATCAACTCCCAACCTCACTTTCAGATGGGCCCAGGATGGACGACTCCAGCTGCCCCAGGAACCGGACCTGGGAGGTGGGGACGGAGCAAACCTTCTCCTGCGTGGCGCTGGGGAACCCCCCGCCGGCCGTGGTGTGCGCGAAGGATGGGGTGCCCTTCCGCACAGGGGTGCAATGGCGGGTCAGGAGCGAGGATGCCGGAACCTACCACTGCAAAGCCTCCAACGCGCACGGCACAGCCAGCCGGGAGGTGACCGTCCAGGTGAAGGGTAAGTGGCCTTTACTGTAGCTTCCAGCAAGCAACCTAGGGGGTGGGTCTGCAGAAACACCAAAGAGATTTAGGAGCTAAAGTGGATGGAATTCAAGTAAAAGCCCATTCGATTTTAATGGGATTTAGGAGCTCAAATGCCCCCAAACACCGCTGAGACCCCGTACAGGATCCCGGGCTGCCATTCCCTACCTGGCCCAGTGTCCCGTCTGGCCATTCCATCCATGCGGCAGATGTCTGCAGGCTGAGCCGGGGACCTAGCAACACTCTTGCCCTAGACTGAGCAGGGCTGGGTCCAGTGTCCTGCAGCCTGGCTGGTTTCTGGGTTAGCTCAGTCCCATATTAATGATGTGCAATATGGCAGAATCAAAGGACATCAGGGCCCTGTCATGCCAGGCACTGCACAGACCCTGACTGAGACCAGGGCCCCATCGTGCCAGGGGCTACCCAGGCCCCCCACCAAGACCAGGGTCCCAGTCTCCTGCCATCACTCCAGATGTACCCCAAGATCAGAGCACCTGCATGACTCTCCTTCGTCCCTTTGGTCATTTATCTCCTTAGGTTTTGGCTCCTCTTATTCGTCTCCTTTCCCGTGTGGTTATATCTCCGATTCCTAGTGTCCTCAGCCCAGCCAGGATGGCCTCCCAGGCTGGCTCCTGTTACCTTTCACCCTTCCCCCCTGTTCTGAGCCCAGCCATCCAGCCAGGGCAGAGAACAGGAGAAACCAGCACTGGAGCCCAGTAGGAAATGGATCAATCAGAGCCCTTTAATGGAGAGATCCAAGCCCCACGAGGCACAGAAAATTGGAAAAGTCCCCAGGGTCCCTGCCATGTTTGGGGAACCCCCTCCCCCAACCCCAAGCAGTGAGTCAGACTCATCCTTCAGCAGCTGGAAGGAGCAGCTCAGTGCTGACCCAGCCCTGCTGGCACCCCAGCATCCAGCCAGACAATGCCAAATGCCCATTAGGAACTGGGCAAATAACAGCACAAGCTGCAAGGCCAGGTCCACCCGGCGTGGCTCCTGCTGGCCACTGCACTACAACTCAGGAGCTGCGATGGGGGCTTCACCCATCAGGGAAACTGTCCACCCACATTAATCCAGGAGCTAAAATCACATGGCACCAAGTACAGGTCAGCTCCTGAGGAGGAGGCTGCAAAGCTCCCAGGGGCCTGATCCAACTGGTGCAAATAACGAATGTAAATACAGGTAGTCCCCGACTTACGTGGATCCGACTTACGTCGGATCCGCAGTTACGAACGGGGCTGCCCCAGAGTACACGGACTGCGGGACCTCGTGGTCCTGCCGCCCGTGTACTCTGGGGCTTTGCTCTGCGTCTCCCTGGTCTGCAGACCAGGAAGACGCAGAGCAAAGCCGCGGAGGGGCTCAGGCAGCCGGGCAGCCCAGGCACGCCTGGGCTGTCCCGCCGCCGGCTTCCCCCGCAGCTTTGCAAAGCCACGGAGGGGCTGGGGCTCCGGGGCAGCCCAGGCGCGCCTGGGCTGTCCTGTCCTCTCCAGCAGACCAGGGAGATGGGGAGCAAAGCCTCGGAGCACGCCAGCAGTGGGACAGCGTGGCGCGCCTGGACTGTCCCGCTGCCCGCGTGCTCTGCGGCTTTGCTCCGCGTCTCCCAGGTCAGCAGACCAGAGAGATGGAGCAAAGCCGTGGAGGACTTGGGCGGTCCCGCCACCCCCGTATCCCTGGTCTGCTGGGGGAGGGGTGCAGCTAGTGCCCCCCCCAGCAGACCAGGCTTTTCTTGCCTACCCCTGGGGTAGAGCAGCTGGGGGCTGCCGGGTTGGTCCCGCAGCGCCACTCCGAACCAACCCGGCAGCACCCCAGCTGCTCTGCCCCAGGCGTCCTGATTCAGCCGCTGCCGGGCTGTTTCAGACGCGG